TAGCAATGGCAACGACATATCTACGAGAATGCAAGGTCTACCAAGAACACATCAGCTACCAGGATGAATGCAGGCTAACCTTCCATACTCATTCTTGCAAATCCTATCACTTCTTCAATTTGAATGACAACCACTTCATGACCAAAAAAAAGTGTCTTAAGCAGCCAAGCTGGTGTCTGTTTTAAATTCAAAACCTTGATTGTGTTTCTAAAGGTGAAGGCCCCATCCGTGAAGGTGCAGGTGCATCTAATTATAGGTAGAATAAAACGATATTCATAATTGCGTTCAGAAGAATAAAAATCCACCACTTCCTCAGCCAACAGTAACTCTAGAAAATATTATTGGGAATGTATTTGAATATTGGAAACAAAGATCAGTTTCCTAATACTAAAACTACCTCCCTGTGCTTAGAATACAAATATAGGAAGATAATTACTTTAAATAGTAAACTAACTGTATACGTATAAGTGATAAGAAGCACTGATTAGAAATGAAGAATTACCATTATCACTGATGGCATGTGTGTGAGATTGCCAGGGCTGCCATAAGGAAGTATCATAAACTGAGTGGCTTAAACAACAGAAATTTATTGCCTCTCAGTTCTGCATGCTCAAAGTCTGAAATCAAGGTGTTGGCACTTTTTGGCTCCTTCTGAGGACGGTAAGTGAAGGGTCTCTTCCAGGCCTCTCTCCTTGGCTTGTGGATGGCTGTCTTCCCTTTAACTGTGTCTGTCTCTGTGTCCAACTTTACCCTTTTTATAAGGATGCCAGTCTTTTTGGATTAGGGTCCACCCCAATGGCCTTCCATAACTTGCTTATCTCTGTAAAAATCCTATCTTCAAATAATGTCACCTTCTGAGGTAGTGGAGGTTAGGACACCAACACATCATTTTTGGTGGGGGGAGGGACATAATTCAACCCACAATAGCACAACAGTCTAAAACATTTCTATGTGACGATCCTATTTCAATGGATAAAAATGATAATAAGTGAATTAAAAAAGGATTTTCCATGGTTTTATAGCATTCAAACCATTGGTTTCAATTCCACTTCTCCTAAGTCCTCTGTTCCTAATAATTAGGTAATGTATTGATTTTTTGTATTCTTCTTGGGAAATATCTAGAAGATGCAAGGGTAAATATAAATCTAAAAAAAATGAATTTCCCTGATGCCAAAAAAGAAAGAAAACTCCCCTCTCCCACTTCTTTTTCCTAGAGAGTTTCCTTAAAAATAACTTGGAATTGTAAATCCTTTCCATGTCTCTTTGAGATGGATACAAAGTCTGAATAACTTCTAGCTAGCTTTGTATCCCGGGAATGCCTTTCTTGCGGGGGTGGGGGCCTTGGAACTATCTTTTTGAAATGTGGAAGTAATGTATCCTGTCTCTCTCTTTGGGAGCTTAGGCTAGGTGCCTGGCTCCAAGTTGTAACTTTTTGCTTGCTGCAAAGTTAGAAGACATTTTATTTTTCCTTGGGATCAAGACAGTTATCATGTATGTAAATGACTGTATCTCCCTGGCTATATAAAAGGATAAGATGTCTTTCTGTCTTCGCAATGTCTTTAGTGGATTGCTGAGATGCATATCACAGTCTGGTTTAATGCTTATTCAAACAAAACTTTTCTACATTTCTGAAGAGGACTTCTAGGTTGGATGAAGATTTTATTTTTATTTATTTATTTATTTATTTTTATTTATTTTTTTTTTTGCGGTACGCGGGCCTCTCACTGCTGTGGCCTCTCCCATTGCGGAGCACAGGCTCCGGACGCGCAGGCCCAGCGGCCATGGCTCACGGGCCCAGCCGCTCCGCGGCATGAGGGATCTTCCCGGACCGGGGCACGAACCCGTGTCCCCTGCATCGGCAGGCGGACTCTCAACCACTGCGCCACCAGAGAAGCCCTGAAGATTTTATTTTTAATTAATTCCCCCAAAGAGATAAAAATCTCATTTTGTTCTTCTTTTTCCCTCATGCAGTAGATACACAATAATATAGACACACACATTTACCAATATGAAAATCTCTTCCACAATTATGACCTTACTACATCAACTGATCTGGAATAAAACTGAATACACACAATAGAATATTTATTAGTGATGATGTCGACAATAGTAATTTATAATTATGAGTTTAGGGCTAGTTATTTGAGTACTGATTATATGCCAAAACTGGGCTAAATATTGTGACTAGATTGTGTGGTGTGATCTTGGCAATGACCCTATCATTTGGCTATTACCACTATTTTCCAGAGACAAATCCCAAGGCTACAAACGTGTCATAGATTTATCCAGGTTCCAATCCTACAAAGTAGTAGAGCCTGTCTTCTTCATCATGGGGTGAGCCTCCCTCACTTGTCATGGAGGAGACTGTACCACACCAGGGCAGCATGGGTTCCACTGGATTCCCATCCGTGGGTTTGCCTTTGGATTCTGAGCCATTCAGCTGTGATTCCCACCCTTTCCATGCTGTTAAAGCAGTTTGACATAAGGGATGCTTTCTAAACAAGAATGGCTTTAAGTTTCTCTTACTGCACTCACTCAATGAAACTGAGCAGGATACTGCCTTTTGTTTTTCAGTCTCCTAGACCTTCCCTGAGTCCAAAGGGCAGATTCACTTACTAATTAGGGGAGTGAGGGAATGCAGAAAGAAGCAATTGTGCTCCATTTATAGCTATTATAAAATACTGGCTATATTCCCCCTGATATCCATATATCTTTATAGCTTATTTTATACCTATAGTTTCTCTTAATCCCCTAACCCTATATAGCCCCTCCCTCCTTCCCTCTCCCCACTGGCAACCACTAGCTTGTTCTCTATATCTGTAAGTCTGCTTCTTTTTATGTTATATTCACTAGTTTGTATAACCTTTAAAAATTGTGAATCACTGTATTGTATATCAAGTATACTTCAATAAAGAAAGGAAAAGAAAAGAAAAAAGGCAAGGAAAGAAAAGAAAAGGATAGTACAGCAATGGGGCCTGGTCGTGGTTCCTCCTTGGGGGACGTACAAAATATTTACATACATATCTCTGAGTTCTGTGGGAACTAAGGCTCCCACCCTGGTGGAGGATGGTAACTTCAGACAGAGCATAAACTCGTGGACCCAGACAGGTTGGAATGAGAAGGTTGATGATTGAGATTCCTGGAATACCACCTCCAACCAATCAGGTTGATGACTGAGATTCCTGGAATACCACCTCCAACCAATCAGAGGAGGGTAACACACCCTGCAGCCCCCTCCCCAAATTTTGCCTATAAAATGTCTTCCCCCAAAACCATCAGAGAGTTCAGGTCTTTAGAGCACTTGTTGCCCCGTTCTCCTTGCTTGGCCCTTCAATAAACCTTTCTCTGCTCCAAACTCTGACCTTTCAGTGTATTTGGCCTCACTGTGTGTTGGGCACAACAGTTATTTAATCTGTCTTAAACTCTGTTTCCTCATCTGGAAGCAGTGCCTAGCAACAAGGTAACTATGCCTATAAAGGGGCAGTGGCAAGGCTCTACCAACACAATGTATGTGACCAGCGTTGAAGATGGAAACCAACAGACAAGAGTACCTCACTCTGTGAGTACCTCACAGACAAGAAGTGACCTCACTCAACAGTACGTCATCCAGGAATCAGGACAGTGCCCGACGTAACAGGTAATCAAAATAAAATGAAGTGAAAGAAAAAAACTAACCAAAAAAAAAAATGTAAGCCATCCTTATCTCTATTTTATAAATATTATTACAAACAATAAAGATGGCATAGATTTAACACATTTTCTCACGTATAAGATTGGATCTTATTTTTTTCTCTTACATCGAACTCTCCCAGTACACTAGTATCAAGTACACCTGGAATGCAAAATCCATTTATCCCCACACTCAGCCTGGATACTGAGAAGAAAACCACACCTTTCTGTGCCCATAACATCACTTTGCAATAACACCACTGTCTTCCTTAGCGTTATTCTCATCTCTTCCTAATCCTAGTAAGTCCCCACATGAAAAGAGCCTCATTAAATACAATTCCCAACTCTTGATAAACTTTGACCTTCCTTTCCCCACTCCAAGACGTTGACAAAGCTCTCTTGAGTCTTAATTAGCTCTATCTGATTGCAGGCATTTTTTAGATTTGTGGGGAGAAAATTCATCTTTGGCTATTACAAAACCACTCTTATTTCTTAGGTGGACTTGAGTCTTTGACATGTCCAGGACAATTTTTTTTGGATCCCAGGTATATGTTTTTATTCATGGATGGCTCACTTGGTGTACAAATTTTGGAGACCTTTTATATAAAGTTGTGAAGAGCGGTGTTGGCTAGGAAGGCAAGGAACAAGGAGTTTTAAGCAAAGGCAGATGTTCTGTTATCCTAAAGATTCCAAAGGCATTTATGACAGCAGTCATGCATCTTAACAGGTGACAGGCAGGTGGATGGATGCTCATGGGATAGAAGAGCAAACAACTTTCAATTTTAATAAATATTTATAAACCAAAAAAAAAAAAAAGCTCTCTTGAGGTGACAGCCTCCCTTACATAAGCAATAAACTTGGCTTTGTCTCAGATTGTGAGCTTGTGTCTCATATTATCTCCTTTGGGAACTGACTTTCAACAAAGCCTACAAGTTTTCTAGGACTTTAAGGATTTATGAAAACTGCAAATTCCTATGTAAACGTAGATGTCTTGACATAGTACTCGTGATATTATCAATAATGGACATTATAAGTGAGTATATATACTCCTGTTGAGTTTAACTCTTTCATATATCATGCTTTCAATTTATGATTACCGATGATGGAACGAGATACCTCCATCATGTTCACTTGTGATATAAATGGTTCAAATCCATCAATCCATGCTTTTAAAAAATTATAAATTAAGATTTTAGCCCCCATATAGGAATTCAAAACAGCATTTTTATTTTTACTGTTTCATGGCATTTCTCTCTACATGTAGAAATTTTAGAGTTAGTCTTTCAACCCAAAAGGTTAAATGCAACTTACTTCATGATGTGAATTCTTACCTTTTCGAGCTTGGAAAGAGCAAGGGAGTAACAGTCTTTGGCTCTGAATTGCATGAATCTCATGTTGGCTGGGTGGGTAAGCTCTGTGATAATACTGAGACTGGAGAACAACCTGCATTTCAAAGAAACATTTGCATTACGCTAACAATCCAATATGGTATTTTTTAGAACAACATATTTATGAGTGAGTGATACCTAGCTGTAGGCATAAAACTACACGCAATTATAAGAGCAGGCCATGCCACATCACCTGTGCTGTGCAGTGCAAGAAAAATGAAACCCTCTTTCCCAAAGAATATTTTAACCAACATTTTAGCACCATAAGAAAAATAAATTCAGTAATTTGGCTTTTATTAGGCATTTTCTTGCCACACATTCATAAAGCTGATGGAAGAAGTTACCTCATGGATAATATTGAAATAGAAATTTGTAAGATGAATATCTGGATTGGCAAAAATTTCCTATGATGAGCTTATTGTTCATAATTGAGTTCTTTGATCTTCTATGGTTCCCTGTCCTCATAGTATGTGCTTTTAAATGCCAAATCCTGCTACAATGAACTTCTGAGAAGAGCAACTATTTTAACTGAAATAACAACTCATTGTAATGAATTGAGGTCATGGCTCAACTGATGGCATTGTTCTAGAAGGATCCTGAGACTGCCCACTTGCCCAGAGTTTTGCATTAGCGTTCTTTCCATTTACCTCCTCTCCCTCAAAAACACACGTGTGCAAGTGCACACATACCCATGCACATGCATGATTTCTCCCCCTCCGAAAAACCGGGCAAAATAAAACCACAGCAAACACCTTCTTATTGTCGCTGTGCTTGATGATCTGATCTCTAGCTGATGTCCGTGATCACTGGTAGCTGTCCTGGCTCAAATATTTTGAGATTCTCTGTGGCGGCCACATCACGTGATAATCAGCTTTGCTCTCCATACAATATGTCTTCAAACCCAGTTATGGCCACTTCAAATTCCTACCAGTAGCTGAACCCATGCCTTGAACTCAGGCACTAGAACTGACTGAAATATGCTGGCCAGAAACATCTGACTCGTGGCTCAGAAACAAATCAGCATCTCCAGCTGACCTCGCATTATCTGCGGGGTCCAGGAGTGAGGGCACTGTTACTCCATCTGCCTGAGCGCTTGGCTTGGTGTCTTAGAGAGGAAGCTGGGAGCCCTGACTCTGAACTCCAGAATGACGGATGCGATTACCCCTTTCCTCGGCTCTAACTCCCTAAAGCTGATGGATGGTTTGCTAGACCCTCTCCCTCCTCCCAGGGAGTGAGGGTCTGCCTGCAGGCTTGCTGGGCCTTCCCTGAGGGGCCCTCAGGTCAATTTCCAGGGGGCTTAGTCACCCTATCAGTTAAGACCTAAAAAATGCTTAAAAATGCTATATTTCAGAGTTATCTGTGAAAACTACATGTGCCCTCTTGGTTACATTGCTGGACTGGTATCGAGGCTTACCTAATCAAAGCCTTTGCAAACTACAGTATCATCAGGTGTTTCATGAGATCTACTCTTCGGAGGAACAGATATAGCCACACGGCCTCATCTCCATTTTGAGAGCAAATATTATTGTACTTTAAGTACAACAGGTAACTTGTAATAAGTTGGACTGAAATAATATCAGCAAAAGAACAATCAGAACATAATTTCTTTTGTCGACTTTTAATGTTAAAAGTATAATTTTATTGGGCTTCCCTGGTGGCGCAGTGGTTGAGAGTCCGCCTGCCGATGCAGGGGACACGGGTTCGTGCCCTGGTCCGGGAGGATCCCACATGCCGCTGAGCGGCTGGGCCCGTAAGCCATGGCTGCTGAGCCTGCGCGTCCGGAGCCTGTGCTCCGCAGCGGGAGAGGCCACAACAGTGAAAAGCCCGCATACCACACACACACACAAAAAAGAAATATCTTAAAAGAACAATGTCTCTAAAGATATTTACCATGATATAGTGTGTCAATTGGCTGTCAAAATAGAAACTAAAATGAATAAATAAGAGCAACATGGACGAATGAAGATAAAGCATGTAGTCTCATTTAGAGAATAAATGCCATATTCATGATCTGAGCTTCTAAAAAGGAAAATTAACTGACCTGAGGTTTTTCTCTTTGTCTTTTCACTTTTTTTTTTTTATCTTTTGGAAGGTTAAAGGTCCAAAACCCGATAATATCTAAAATTTACAGAGCATTATTCTTAGAGCTTTCCATGTATTGATTCATGTAATCTTCAGAACATCAGGTTAAGGACCTCCTTCTTTGGGGCTTCCATCTGCACCCCCTGTTCCCTGGGAGGAGTTGGGGACATATGGCTCACTCCTGACTCTGCCTTTTCAGTATCTCTGGGTGTGTGCTGGTCTGAGCCAGGCCATGAAGTGAGCCCAGCCCTACAGGGCAGGCCCAGTGGTTGTCTAGCAGGGCTCCTGATCAGGGTTCTCCACTACTGCCAGGCACCAACGCTACACAGTTCTGCCTAGCATGGGATCCCCAACTGCCTGACTTCTTTGGGTCTCGATAGTTTCCACTTGTTTAGGAAATCGAGAGAGTCACTTACCATTTCTTCAAATTCCAAAAACTACTCTATGATTTACTTACAATTATGTTTACAGTCGAAGAAACTGAGGCCCAGAAAAACCAAATAAAACGTTCAAGGTAACATTCTAGTAGGTAGCAGAGCCTGGTTCACACACAAACAGTCAGGGTCTAGAACACGAACCTGCCCCCCTCCCTATTTTAATAAATAGGTAGGTAGGAAAGGAAACTCAGATGACCCAAATAAAATAGTAAGTTATTAAGAATATCTAGTAACATGTTGGAGTTTCAGATATTACAAGTCAACTCTATTTTAAACTTTTGTAATCTCTACTTCTGTATCTATCCGGAAATAGGAGCTGTTAGATCATAACTTCATTATAGTTGTTTCAATTTACTGAGCACAATATTTAGTATCTAATTTAGCAAATAAATATCAAGTGTTTGCTGTTGGAGAGCTCTGGTCTCCAGGAGATAAAAAAGAAGTGGAACATGAAATTCCTGCCTTTATATTAGACTCTTATGATCTAATAAAGGAAACTACAAAAAATTCATAAATTATAAGGTTGTACATATTTTTCTAAGGATGATAAATGTGGATGACTGAAATCTGTGGTTCAAAATTAAATAGCTTTAAGATGCTAGTGAATGGATAGCTTGTGAGGAACATCTTGGAAGGTACTGAGATATATGGCCAGAGAAGGAATTTCTGAGGAAACAAAGAGTAAACAAATGAAAAATGTATCTCAACTTTTGGAAATTTTTATTTTCTTTGAGAAATATGGCTTTTATCTTTCACACATATTATTTTTCTAACTTTAGACAAATTTGTGACCACTTGAAATCTTTTGTTTATAATCCTTTTCTAACACATTACATCAAACAGAAATATATATATATGTAGCCAGATGTATTTGAGGTCTTAGTAAGAGTCAGTAATAAAATGACTGAGTGATCTAGTCATTGTATTTACGTGACTTCTAGAGTTGAAATTAGATAGGACAACAAAATTTACGTGATGTGTCATTTCTGTTCTATATAATTGAACCTACACCATTTATGTTAGTTTAAACTGCACCATTTATGTTAGTTTAAACTGAGAAACTGCACTAAGTCTGCCACCTAGTGAAAATCTAGAACTGAATAATACTTAAATAATGAAACATTTTATTGTAGTGCCCTTCGTATCTATAAAATATTACTTGTATTCAATTATAATACTTTATATTTGCAAATTTGGTTGTCTAATAGATTTAATTATATATCTTTAAAATACTAATACTGTAATCCATTTCTGAGCCTTAATATGACCTAAATACATTTTGAATATATAACATTTTAGAATTAAATGACCTCATAAGTCTCTTTTCCCTAGGTACTAGGATCATCATAAAGCAATATAGTAATTGAAATAATGTAGTTTGTTCTATTTTAAATTGTTCTACAATTACTTCTCTAGTTTAAGTTTTAAATGAGTTGTTTAATACTTTCCTTGTACATTGGAGCAAAACTTGCTATCCCAAAATGTCTTTGGCAGTTGAAATGGTTGTTTTTTATTCAAGACACATTTTGATGGGCCAATTTACTCGGTGACGTAAGTATAATTGTGTAAAATATCTATGGAATTGTCATCTGCTTGAATTAATTCATTTAATAAATAATTTTGACATGCCCAGGTACGTTAACCAACACAAAGATGAAAACCATACCATATACTTCATTTCAGAGACTGGGAGAACTCTGAGACTAGCTTTCCTGTATATATTAAAGCAAAACAAACAAACATCAGAACATACAAATCTGAAAATTATCTACAATATTTTAATAAAAATATTACTTAGTGAGCTAGTGTGTTACACTATAAATTTTGATCTGTGGTGGCTGGGAATGATGTTTCTGAATAACAAAGGGTGTATATTATTATGAAAGGTATAGAAACACACTTAGATGCATGAGCCCCCAGTTTTAGACTATGATTGAATATTGGCACTAAAACAAACATGAACATATTTTTTCACAAATGTTTTTAAAACACTTTAGATCTGAGTCTGGGGTAGTAGTAATAAATGACAGTATAATAAATATCAGATATCTCCTGCATTTAAAATTTTAATCCATGTAAACCGAACAAAATATTAAAATTTTTGCACTGTATAAAAAAAATCACTCTTGCATTGATACGTATTCGGTATCAATGTTTTGAATTACATCATTTCCCAAGTGCCTATGTGTGTTATTTCTTCAGTAAGACTATGACTATTTTGCCAAGCTAGAGACAATATTCCTTTTTTATTTTTAACTTGACATTTATGCTCTTATAGTCCTTACAATTCAAAAGTCTTCTAACTGGTCGGTTTTCACCCACTCTCACTTTTCCCCAAACCATTCTTCACACTGTAGCTAAAATAATATTTTAAACTTTCCTATCTTTCAATGATTTCCTCTTATTCTTAAAATAAAGGGCAACTTACTGAAGCGTTCTTCAAAGCCATGAATAGTCTGGCTTCTGGTTTCCATCTCAGCCTCTGGCGTACCTTCCTCTGGCTCTGCTCCAAGTCCTTGGATGTTCAGTACCTAGC